AAAATTTATGAGAGGGTGGATATGCTCAGACCCCAAAGCCACAAATCAATATAATAATATGTAATTCTTCACTTTCTAAATACAGCGTATTTTATATGTCTGAGTCGGGGATCTGTTTTCCTCCATTTTGCACGTTGGGGGATTTGTATCATAAAAAGGTGCCAAAAAAGATTAACAAACAAAGAAATAATAAAAAAAAAATACTGGAATGTGCAGAGATGGACAGATTAACCATGAGATTGAAAGAGAAAGAAGAAGCAGAATATTATCAAACTTGGGATTTATTTTATCAAGGGCTAGAGGAAAGAATGAAGGATTAGGAACTGAATATGTATTAATGTTTTTAAACTCAGCACGTTGGTTGAAAAGTTAATATATGTATGTAAGAGAAAATCAATAAAATCTTTATTTAAAAAAATCATAAAAGGTGATCGACGGTGGTTCTCAACCTGTGGTCCGTGGGCCTGCAAAATCATCACAGGGTCCACGAAGGCTTGAAAAATTATGATTTAAATCGTGAATTAAGGTATAGGACAGGGGTCCCCAACTTACAGTCCGTGGCCCACGACCGGGCCGCAGTCTGCTGGCCACTGGGCCGCAGAACAGGCTGGCCAGTGCACTCAGTCACCCCTACTCGCACTGGCACCACCACCGCTGTGCAAACGGAGCAGTACAGAAACAGCGCTGCACGAAAACGGGACGGTGCTAGCAAGTGTCATGCGGGCGCTCGCACCACCCCGTTTGCGTCGTGCGGTGCTCGCAGCCCCATTGGGGCGTGCTCGCATAAAATGCTTCCCCCCTCCCTTTCCCTCTGGTCCACCAACTGAGAAAGGTTGGAGACCTCTGATGTGGGGTGTGACAGCCCCTTGATGTAATAATGAAGTTCTAACTCACCTGTTGTAAGAGGGGGGGTGTTTGGTGCCAATGCCAGCTCATTTGGACCAGCGATTTGCGTGCTTTCGATCTACCCTCTTTGCAGTTTTCCTCAATGACTTTCGGAACCTTCCTTCCTTCTCATCTTCCTTCCTTCCTTCCTTCCTTCCTTCCTTCCTTCCTTCCTTCCTTCCTTCCTTCCTTCCTCCCTCCCTCCCTCCCTCCCTCCCTCCCTCCAGGGGCCTTTTGATGTGGTGAGGAAGGTTTTTGCCAAGGGGGAAGAGGCTTCTCACATGTCTCTCATAGACAAAGCAGACCTGTTCTTCCACGATTACTCCCTGGGACCTCTCTTTGTCCAAGAGAACTACGTCCACGTCAGGCCTGCTGCGGCTGGGTGAGTTCTGACCCGTTATTTTGGGACGGTGATTGTGGCATTCAAGGCGGTAATAAGCAATCGGCCTTAATTCGAGCCGTCTCCCCGTCTTTTCTCAGGAACAACTTGGCGAAAGAACTCATCTTACTTAGCAAAACGGCGGACAGCATTTGCGACGGCGATTTAGTCGACCGCCAGATTCGCGCGCGGCAAAACTGGAGCCTTTTACCCACACAGGTGATACGCGGCCCTTTGGTTCTGCATATAGAGATTATTTCTAAAAATAATGAGGCGGTCATCTTAAAAGCTAGCTTGGATTCATTATTATTATTATTATTATCATCATCATCATCGCACAGTCAGCCAGATGTTCAGACTGATTCGGCATTTTTGTCTACCTGTCGAGTCCTTCCCAAGGACCTCGGATAGGCAGATGTGGATGTTTGATGGTATTACAGATCTCGTCGCAGGATGGAAGCAGTTCCTAGCAAGGCCGCCTTTTGCAATTGACTAATGGCGAATTTGTCAATGCCGATGATGGTGTTCAAGTGGTGCTCCAGTTGTTTTGGGATTGCACCCAAGGCGCCTATGACTATTGGTACTACCCTTGCTTGCTTTTGCCACAGTCTTTCTATTTCTATTTGTAGGTCTTTGTATTTTGTTATCTTCTCCAGTTCTTTCTCGTCTATTCTGCTGTCTCCAGGCACTGCCACGTCCACTATCCAGACTTTTTTGTCTTTTTTATCGACAATTGTTAAGTCCGGGGTGTTATGTTGCAGGTGCTTGTCTGTTTGAATTCTGAAGTCCCAGAGCAGTTTAACTTTATCATTTTCTATGACTTCCTCTATTTTATGATCCCACCAGTTTTTGCTTACAGGCAAATGATATTTCTTGCAGATCTTCCAATGCACCATTGTTGCTACTTTGTCATGCCGCTATTATTATTATAATTATAATTTTCATTTTCATTATTTTTCTCTGGAAAACCCAAGGGATTTTTATCTATGTTGTTAGATAGGAGTTGATGACACGTGATCGATTTTAAGTTTATTTTTATCCCATCTTTATTATTTTTATAAATAACTCAAGGTGGCATATGCTCCTTCTTTCTCTTGTTTTCCTCACAATAATCCTGCGAGGTCGGTTGGGCTGAGACTGACTGACCCAAAGTCATCCACTTGGCTTTCATGCTTGAGGCGGGACTAGAACTCACCGTCTCCTGGTGATTGGCCCAAAGCCACCCGCCAGATTTCATGCCTAAGGCGGGACTAGAACTCACCGTCTCCTGGTGATTGGCCCAAAGTCACTCAGCCGGCTTTCATGCCTAAGGCAGGACTAGAACTCACCGTCTCCTGGTGATTGGCCCAAAGTCACCCAACCGGCTTTCGTGCCTAAGGCGGGACTAGAACTCGCCGTCTCCTGGCGATTGGCCCAAAGTCACCCAATCGGCTTTCATGCCTAAGGCGGGACTAGAACTCACCGTCTCCTGGTATTTGGCCCAAAGTCACCCAGCCAGCTTCCGTGCCTAAGGCAGGACTAGAACTCGCCGTCTCTAGTTTCTTCTTTAATTGAAGCAAGGCAGGAGGAAACAGAGTAATTCTGAATCACCGATGGGATTATTAATTTCAACTTTGATCTTTTTGTTTAATCGGTCTTGGCCTTTTGGTTCTGCCTCCTCAACCGTATCCTATCAAAAACAGAAAAAGTGCTAAAACTGCTTCCTTCCTTGTCAGGCCATTTATTCGAGTGTCCTTCCCGGGGAGCTGATGAGAGGCTATATGCAAGAATTTCCGAGTTTCCCAAGCTGGTTGGGAAAGTTTTCATCCACTGGGAAGCACGACCGCATCGTACAGGAGCTCTCCAGGCACATGAGTCTCAGGTAAACAGCGAGGACCTCCTTAGTCGGTCTCTGACGGAGTCACGTGACTGGCTGAGATTTATTTCGCAAGCACACTTAGATGGGCTGTCCCCGGCTTATAACCATTTGAAGGTTGCAACCGCACCAGAAAAGCGACTTAACCGCCGTTTTTCACACCCGTTGCCCGCGTCCTCAAGATCACGTGATCAGAACTGGGGTGCTTGGCAACTGGCATGTACTTAGGACGGTTGCAGAGTCCCGGGACTCGTGGGATCGCCATTTGTGACCTTCCCAGCCGGCTTCCGACAAAGCGAAGGGGATGGGGGAAGCCAGAATCAATGAAGCACCGAATGATTCACTTAACTGTGGCAAAACAAGGTCATAAAAAAGAGGAACCACTCAATAACTGCCCGTCTTACCAATAGAAATTTTGGGATTCAGCTGTGGTCATAAGTCCAGACTACTTGTAATAACAATACGGTAGTGGCACAAAGTCCAGAAGCGGTTTCCAAGTAGAAACGAAAGTACTTACGTTCGTTTCTTTTATCAAAACAGACAGTTTAGCCCGCTCTGCTCATCCCATCAACTTTTTGAACCGTTCGCCCAGGGCGGGAATCGAAACATCCTTCCGTTTTGGGGCGTAGAGCAGCCTTGCTGCCGTCAAAATATATAAAATCAGAGTTCCAATTTTTTTTCCTCCCCCCAAGTCTTTTTCCATTAGACCCAGAAAGAAACTTTCTGGTTGAATCTTCATATTCGCTTTAAGGGTTTTCTGCATTAAAATACGAATCCTACTCCAATATTTCTTTGCTTTATCACACGTCCACCACAAAGGATTAAAAAAAAAAATCCCATAATTGTCGTCTTCCTCTTTTATCGGTTCTGTTGTACGTTCCCCAGAGTTGGGAGTCGGAGGGCGCACAGGGCAAAGTCTGGTAACCCACTCCAGCTTCCGCTAAGTAATATTTTTCCCCCCTCCCCGCAGAACGCACGCGAGTAAGAGGGCAGTAAACCTGGACTATCTATCCTATCTGCGCGATGCCGTTGTGCGACCGTTGACCTGCCAAGGCTCGGAAGGGGTCCGGGACGCTGTCGCCTTCATGGATTCTTACTGCTTGTTGAGGGAAGATGTGGAAAACCTCATGGAGGTCACCAGCTGGGCCGGGAAACCCAACCTGTTTTCCACTTTGGATCCCAAGGCAAGTGATCCATTATTCCTGCCCGATTATTGGCTGAGCTTCTTGAAGGAAGAACTTTGAGAAAGAACCGTTAATCCATTTCAAAAATGCGTAACCCGCTCCCAAGGGGATACAGTCGACTAAACACACACACACACACACACACACACACACACACAGAGAGAGATCTTGAAACCCAGGCTATCGTGGCAATCATGGCAAATTGCTAAGATGCAGAACTGTGATTTTTCTGCCTTGCATGTTACGTCTTTTAGTCACCATAATAGTAGCAAAAGGGCTTGCAAAAAAGAACACTGAACTTGTCAGTCCAAGGCAGGGGTCTTCAAACTTGACCCTTTGATGACTTGTGGACTCCAAC